ACACTAACCACCAGGGGGCAGACACTCCAACCAGTAGGTTAGCTTGCTGCTGGGGTCCAACTGATCTGGACTGGGTAAAATGGACTGAACCCGCCCTGGAGCCTTCCCGCAGTCCCTCCCCGGCCCCGATCCGATGGTGCACCGGTGGGGGTCCCTCGGCCTGGCCTGAGACCTCTCGCAATCCGGGACCCCTCGGGGGGTGTTGGAGAGCCGGTTTCAGCCTGATCCCCGCAGGCCAGACCCAGGGACCCCACTGATGCACGAATCTGTGCATGGGGCCTCTACTATTTATAATAAACAACTCCTCAAAGTTTGCTCTCTGAGTCCCTCTCTTTCTCCTGGGAACCAATGCTCCTTTCTGGCAACCAGGCTAGTGCATGGTTTTAAGGAGCGGTCCACTACAGCACTCCTCTGTCATTACAAATCATAAAGAAATACAGTTATAGGCACTCTCGTCACACCAAGTAACCTGACAGATTTAAACCTTCGTTTCCTTACCCATAAAATGGAAGGAGAGCTACTGCCCTTTCTTACATCACAAAGAGACTATAGTGACTAAAGGAAGGGAAGAGATTTATTAGCCATTTAGAAGATAACACAAGGGTAATTTAAGGAGCATTAGGTTATCAATGGTAGTTACAGCTTAGAAGATAGGACATTAAATCCTGGTGACAGTATGAGCCCTGTTACCACCTTGATCCCAACAGTTGCTATGTTGGTGCGAATGGCAAGTAGATATTATTATTGTGGTTTCATGTTTTTACAGCAGGACTTTCCTCTTTGGAATTTTCATACCAAGTTTCAGACTTTTAATGAACCCCTTTTTCCAACATTCACAACATAATGTCGTGCCAGGAAGCGTCACCAGAGGGCGCTGCATCACTTACAGAGTCCACTTGGCTTCTCAACAGCAAAATCACTAAGGTGGATGTCAGGAGTATTGGAACTGGGTCCAGGCCTCAGGTAAGTGAGACCCGGTGAACATTAATTATGATGGTGGGCCAACATTTAATTAAGCAAGCTTCTTTGCTCCCCTTGCCTATTACTTGAACCACTCTGCCTTTTCCGTTTGTATGCTTGTGCACTTTTCTTTCTTTCTTTTCGATCAGTTGCGTTTATTCAGATTAGAATTCTTTAGAAACTTGAAACTCCGGGCTGCTCTGAAAGCTGCCACATCATGTTCACATGATGAAGATGCTGACCTCCTCTCTGAGACATTTGTAAATGTCGTTAGAAGTAAATAAGTGGCCTGCATTGTTTTCAGAACAGAGGAGGTTGAAATTTCTACTTCAGTTGAGACCTTCAGTTGCTTGTGCAATGGTCCTTAATTCCCAATCTGCAGACACACCTCCAAGAGGTGAAATGCACTGGGCTATTCCCAGTGTTTCTCTATACTCTTCACGTGTCTGCGGCTGTGCCAGGCAGCGGGAGGGCAGTGAGTGGGCATGTGTGTCAGGGTTCAGAGGGCCATTCAGGCAGCAGTGGCTCTGCATGCCCTGGAGACCTTCCTGGCTTGGCTGTGTGGGACCCTCCAGGCTGTCGTGTAATAGCTGCAGCAGAGGGCGGGGTGACTGGCCTCAGTTCTCCTTTCAACGGAGAGAAGGGCTCTCGGGATATAGAACAGCAAAGTGGGGACAGAGCGCAACAATTTTCTGCCCGAACGCACCTCCCTCAGGGCGTGGTGCTTGCACACACAAGTGCTGGCTTGGGAGTGAGAAGCAATGGTTTGAGTTTGGCTGTCTGTTTTTGGGTCACAGTAATTACACAAAAGATCTCTATGTTTTCTGTTTTATCCTTACAAATGACCCTTGAGGTGTGTGTGTGTGTGTGTGTGTGTGTGTGTGTGTGTGTGTCAGTTCCTGTTTTTATTCAAATTTACAAATGAGAAAACACAATGAACGAAAGGTTCCCAGGTCCCTATTAAGTTGGAAGTTCCATCTTGCCTGTGCAGAAACTCTTCCTCAATTGGCGAGGCCAGGTGCAAGGTTTGTGGAGGAGAAGAAAGCAGGAGGGAGCTGGGGAAGGCCTGGTGAGGTCTATTTCTGGTGGATGGTATGAGTCTCATTCAGTGCCTACCAGTCAGGCCATTTGGGAGGCAGTGAAGGACTGAGATTGTAGGGATGGGAGGGCACTGACTTCCACAGCGAGGGTCTCTGATGAACACCAGCAGAGCTGAGGTTTTGATAACACAGAAGCTGCTGAAAGCTGCAATCAGCACAGGCAGGGGTGATGACGAGAGCAGGAGGTGGTGTCTAGTGGCCTCCCGCACTCTCTGGAAGGATGATGAGACAAAGGTGATGGTAGAGGAGAAACACAGCTGGGGATCCAGCATTTGGGGGTATCAGAAGTCACAGCAACCAGTGGCCTGTTGCTAAGAGCCCCCAATGGTGTTTCAGGGGAACCCAGGTTGTGGGCAAGTCCAGGGAAGCCTGGAGGGGTTTGTTGGTTTGTAAAGCCCAGTTTTGTGGGGGAGGGAATCCATGATGGGGGTTTTATATCCCCTGGGGAAACTGTCCTATCCTTTGCTGCAGTTTTTTATGTTATGCATGTTTTGTTTTCAGATTTCAAATCTTGGACTTGACTTAAGAAAAACCCTTAAATTTCCTGACATATATGGAGGCCCAAAGGCCGCAAACTACAGCCATTTAGAAGGCTAATAAATCAAGGAACCTCAAGGCCACAGTCATCTGCTTGCACATCCCCACAGCACCCCCACCTCCACCCCTCCACAGTGCTGGACAGACCCAGGGCCTTTGCTGGGTGGGACTGATTGGGTAGGGAGGCCTTCAGAGTGGCTGCTGGACACGGAAGACAGGTTGGAGGTACCAAACGAATGACAATTCCATTTTCTGGAAAACACTGCAGCTTCTTTTTACATACTGCTTTCGAGTACCAAACACCAAGAACTCTGTCTCATTCCATTTTCCCCTTTGACCTTGGCTTTTCTTTAATGGGTGTGTGTCCTGAACGCCATGAATATGTTCTGAATGAAGCAGGAGAAGCTGCACACATCCGGTTCATCGTCTCTGCCCAGCTCGGCCTCCTTTGCCAGGTCCTCTCCCCCATCCAGGGCCTTCAAGGGCGAGGGGAGGGGCTGAGCTTCGGCTCAGGCAGAGTAATGGCTATACAATGAAGGAGGCTAACTTCCCCCTCATCACAGGAAGGGCTGAAAGGAACCCGATAATTCCAATTAGACTTAAACTAATGAGCTGGAAGTGTTGGGGGAACCACTGTGGGCAGCGAGGGGACAATGTGATCATCTTCCTTTCAATTAGCACTGGAAAAACCTATAGCCCAGCTGGTAGCACACGGGAGCAAAGTTTCTGAGAACATCAGAAGGGGGACTCCCTCGGGGTAAAGGGATAAAGGCTGCGGAACAAACCCAGAGTCTTATCTTTAAGGGGGGAGGAGGGAAGATCCTGATGGGGAAAGGTGGGCTTGAATGGAGCCTGGACCACCCCTTCTCCTAGCTGCCCTCCTCACGTGATGGAGTCCAGCTTCAGTGGTTCTCAACCTTCCTAATGCCGCGACCCTTTAATACAGTTCCTCATGATGTGGTGACCCCCAATTTCATTGTTACAAATTGAACATAATTAAAGCATAGTGTTTAATCACAAAACAATATGTAATTATATGTTTTCCGATGGTCTTAGGCGACCCCTGTGAAAGGGTCGTTCGACCCCCAAAGGGGTCGCTACCCACAGGTTGAGAACCGCTGAGCTAGAAAAAAAAGCGACTTTAGGGAACTCAACTGCCTGTTGGAGCCTGTGCCGCCCCCAGGCCAAGGCCCCCCTGCCCATCCTTGCCTACTTTCCTAGGCAGCCTCTGTCGCTTCAGGAGAAAAACCACCTGCTGCTGTCAAGGCCGAAGACCACTCGCCAGCCTCCCAGCCTCCCGATGGCCCTGCCTCCACGCACAGGGCCCCCGAGAATCTAGGAAGGGGGGACTGAGGAGCGAACTAAGGATCGGTGGGGGACGAACCAGTGTGTGTTCCTTGAAGAAGGGTCCTCCTCACTCCCGAGGCCCAAGGATCTAAGATCTTAAGGCGTAAGGCCTGTGGAATCCAGTCCACAGCTGGTCACCCCTCTCCTCCCCAGTGGGGTCTCCTTTGGGAAAAAAGGCCTGCGATGGGGGCCCACCCATCCTTTTCGGGACCTCCAGGGAGCTCTGTTGGGGGCGCAGAACACGGGGAAGAGTTGCGAGGTCCAGTGCCTGGGCTTAGGGCGCTCTGCCTCGGACACTGGGGGGTGGCGGGGGTGCATGCCAGGCCGCTGCCAACGGGTCAACCGGCCCCTGCCCAGCCCCGAGTCTTAGCGCCCCGCGCAGCGAGCCTCCTTCCCTCCCGCCCCGGTGGCTGAGCCGCGCCGCTCCAGTTGCTGCAGCTGCTGGCGGCCGCGGGGAGCGCGGGGAGCGCGGGGCGCGCGCCGAAGAGGCTCGGGCGGCGACGAGGAGGAGCCGGCGGAGGCAGGAGGCAGCACGGGCGGGGGCCGAGCAGGCTCCGCGGTGGCGACGCGCTCCGGGAGCGTGGCTAGCGGCGGCGGCGCCCGGCGACCGGCCGCGGGGAACCTGCCGCGGCCCAGTGCGCACAGGGGCGGGGAGCGCGAGCCGGGCGCAGCCGCGAGAGGAGGGCCGGCGTCCGGGCGGAGGGGGCCGATGATACATTATTAACGAGTTGCCGCCTCAGAAGCTCAAAGCGGCTCGTCGGCAGCGCGAATTGCGCGCGGGGAGGGGGTCCCGGGCCGGAGCGCAGCGCACACGCGTGTCGCACGGCGGGCGGCGCCGCGCCGAGGGCACCCGGGCCCGCGCACAGAGCCGGGGCGCGTCCGGGGGCGGTGCAGACCCCGGGCGCGGGCGGCCCGCGGCGCCCCCTCAACAGCCGCGCTCCGGGCCAGCGCGGCTCCGGGAGAGCGGGGCGCGTGCGGAGGAGGGGGAGCGGCCCCCGCTCTCCATCCCCCTCCCCCCCGGGCGGGCGGGCGGGCCGGCGGCCGGGGGGAGGGCGGGCGGCGCGGCTGGCTGTATATATCTCCGCGCACCCCGCCAGGTCGCGCACAGCGCCCCGAGCCCAGGCGCCTCCCCGCCCCCCTCCCCGCGCTCCGCGGCGGCGGCGGCGGCAGCAGGAGCAGCAATATGGCTGTTGATGGGTGTTCGGGGTGGCGCTGGCGGCGGGTGGAGCTCCCCCGAGCCCCTGCGCCCGCTGCCCGTTGCTAGCTATGGCAAATGGTGGCGGCGGCGGCGGCGGCAGCAGCAGCGGCGGCGACGGCGGCGGCGGCGGAGGCAGCAGTCTTAGAATGAGTAGCAATATCCACGCGAACCATCTCAGCCTAGACGCGTCCTCCTCCTCCTCCTCTTCCTCCTCTTCTTCATCCTCCTCTTCTTCGTCCTCGGTCCACGAGCCCAAGATGGATGCGCTCATCATCCCGGTGACCATGGAGGTGCCGTGCGACAGCCGGGGCCAGCGCATGTGGTGGGCTTTCCTGGCCTCCTCCATGGTGACTTTCTTCGGGGGCCTCTTCATCATCCTGCTCTGGCGGACGCTCAAGTACCTGTGGACCGTTTGCTGCCACTGCGGGGGCAAGACGAAGGTAAGGCGCGCCCCGGGCGCCCGCCCCCTGCGCCAGCCCCGCCGCTCCTCGGCGTCCCCAGCATCCCACCTCCTCGCTCCTCGCCGCGCCGTGCGTCCCTCCATCCTAGCCCGCCTGCCCCTCGCCGCCTTCCCTGCCCTCCGCGCTCCCCGCGCCCTCGGATTGGGGCAGCGGGCGGCGCGCGGGAGGCGAGGAGCTGCCCCCCGCCGGTGCGCCCCGGGACGCGGACGCTCAGTCCCGTCCCCTCGTTTACTGGAGGGGTCGTTTGCGGCGGCGGCCGGGGTGGGGGACGCGTGCCGCTCGGGCGCGGTGCCGCGGGGCAGGGAGAGCTAACGTGGAAGCCGGGGGCGCTGGGTGCGTGTGCCCCAGGGCTCACCGCCGCCGCCCGGCTCCTAGCGGTGGGCGAGGGGAGCACGGCAGCCCGCACTTCAGAAACCTGTTGGGACTTGAGTTCGTGGAGTCAGAAGAAAGGGAAGACCTTTTCGGCAAAGGAGAAAACCCTTTGGACTAGGGAATCCCTGGGGAGGAACAGGGCCCGACGAAGTGGGGGAACCTGGGTGTGGGCGAGAAAAGTTGGGGAGATGTACCCCAGTTTTGGAGGTAACTCAGGGAGGTTGGCACTTGAGGAGTGTGGCGAGGTCTCACATCTGATGTCACCTCCCTCTTCATCCCTTAGATATTCTCGTGGAACACCCCCCCTCCCCACCCCCACCCCAGCTTCTGGGGCATCTGTATTCTCGCCCCCATGCCATCTCCTTTAGGCCCCTGGCAATGCCACCAGCAACGTGGAGCCGGGGTGGGAGGTCCGCCTGGGAGCCGCGGAGGCCGCGGTTTCACGCGGAGCCTCCTCTCTGACGTTTCCGGGTGTCTGGATGTGGGGTTTGGCTATTCCTGGCGCAGAGACGCCCACCAGCACCGAGGCTCACTGGCTTTAGTATGGTTGCTAGGCTCTCTGCCTGGTCTGTCGCTGGGTCGCTACAGACTGACCTCTGCCCCCCTGCTCCCACTGGCTGAAGGTTAGGGGGGCATGGAAAACTGCAGAATATAAAAGAAAGAACTGGAAAAAAGTGACCCCAGCTGCCTTCTGTTTGAATAGTTCCCATCCTGGGGGACCTCCCAGGGCCAGCATTTTCAGGGGGATAGGGAGCAGTGCCAGGTAGAGGGAGATCCCCCTGGGAATGTTCACACCTTTTCTGGGCAAGTTCATCCGAGGGCCCCTCAGACTTCCACAGGGCACAGAAACTTGTCGCAGGCTCCTTAGTCGCTCCAGGAAGAGGCAGGGAAACAGGGGCTCCGGGTGACACAGGGTGAACTGAACCCCGCTCTCCTCATTAATTATACATCCTGTTGGGTGCTGAAGCTCAGCTGTGTTTTGTGGCAGCATGTTCGTGTTTTGGAAAATACTGGGGTGTTGGAAATAAGGGAGAACAATTAAAGCCCTCACTCTCTTCCTCTCCCACTTCTCCCGGAAGCCTCCAGGTACTGGGCTGGCCTGTTTCCTTTGGAGTTACCGCCTCAGCGACAGAGGTTTCTCCTTACTTGTCAGTGGAAAACCTCCCAATTTCCAGAGCAGCCACCAGATTAAGCAGAACCCTAACCATGAGACCCTGAGACCATGTCCTTAGCGTTGCTCTCCCCTTTACCACCGCTCACTCACAGACCTTCTTAACCATGCATTTACTCTCCTCTCCTACCCCCCCCCCCCAAGAGTCTTCATCCCTGAAGTGTACGTTCCTTTGCTGAGTTTCAGTGTTTGCCCTGAGGGGAAAGATAGCTTATGGTTGTGTGCATCTAAAATGTTTTGTAGACTGAGTGATTTTGGTGAACTTTTTAACAGTCTTCTTATCCATAAGCGACTGAGCAGTCTTGATGATAATGAAAACTTTGTTTTCCAATGAATCAAAGTAAGTTTGGGTGTTTTTGTAAGTCCTGGGGTGTTAAGCACTCTCTAACGTCTTTCTACTCTAGGATATATGCTAGTATACATCAGTGCCACTGCAGTGCCCGGGATGAAATGCTAATCATATCGTTCACATGAAGAATCTCTTTGCCGAGTGATGACCAAGCACAACTTCTGTCAGTTTTCTCAAGATAATAGATTTTTGGCAATGATCATTAGAAAAATAAAATAATCCCTATAATTAGGCTATATTTTGTAGCTCTAAGACCTTCTGAGTTAACATAACTAGAAATTTCTACAAAAAAATCAGAGATGCTTGCAGTTGGTTGGGAAGATGTGAGGCGATGTAGAACAAGGTCTGGGCGCTTTTGAGACCATCAGAGTTTGTTTTAAACCATGCCCAGAATCTCTTACTACCTGCCTCTGGATTTGCTCAATTAAACCTCGTGTAGCCAGCTCTTTAACCAAGTGGTAAGAACTTAGGCCTTTTGTCAGCTACTCTTTCTATCCTTGATGTCCATTGTAGTCATGAATTTTTTTGCCCTTCATTCTTTTTTCTTTCCAAGTATTTGGTAGTACAGAAGAATGCATTTGGCTTGAACTTGGAATAATTACTTTACTGCTGGGTTTCTCAAGCAAACCTGGGCTGCTTTTCCCCAGGGTTCTACTGGTCCTCACAGGTGTTCCCCTTCACCTTCATTCATTCCCAAGATGGTTTGGCCAGGAGCTGGGGTCCATTGGAAGGCTGGTCTTTTTAGCATCAGAAATTACCCTGGAGGTACGTTTTGGCAGGGAGCTGTGGAGTCACAGGCTTTGGGTCTCTGGGACCACACCATCCTTTTTGATCAAAGGAACCTGGGACTGTGGGTGCATCGGTAGTACCTTTGGCCTCTGAATCCCAAACGGTGAATGACTCTATTATTTTGAAAAGAATTGTATGTGGATTTTTCTTTTTAGGAAATAAAAAGGAACATGAATCACATTCCCCTCCTATTGGGACCTTGGACACAGTCATTTCAGTGCTATGCCCTTTTCTGTTCTTGGTCACATTTTTTTTTTTTCTGTTGCATTTCATCAGAGCTCTCTCTTGACTGGGCCGTGACATTTTGAGGTCCAATCCAGAAACAAACTGGAGTGAACAGGGAGCTGCTCCGGCAGCCTGAAGAAGACCGTGACCTTGAAGAAGTCACTTAACCTCTCTGGTCTCTCTTTTCTTGTGTTTAAAATGTGGTCTTTGAATTCTGTGTTCTTATGTCCCATCCTGCTCTCTGACTCAGTTTCAGGAAGTGGAAGGAGTTGAGAGACTGGGTAAAATTCTAGCTCAGAGTGTGTTTTGCGATGGTGCAGCCATTCCTTTAGGAATTCAGCCTCGGAGAGTCCCTGTGCCTTTCCATCTCCTGCCCCTCGTCCAGCACACAGTCTCCTTTTTTTTCAATTGGTCTGGAAGCCGAGGCCGACTTCCTGGGGAGCTTTGGTTTGCTGAGGGGCCTCTTGTGGTGTCCTCCCTACTGTCCTGAGCTAGAGCTGTTCCCCTGTAGAAGTTTGGGCTTGATTGAGGCTGGTCTGCATGTAGTGAATTATTGAGGTATTGTCTCCATGGTTGTGTCTGAAAAAACAACACGTGTTCTCTGTCAGGCTCCTGACTAATATAAATATCAGATCCCATTATGGCTTGGTAATTACCCAGGGTCTGGCCTGATGCATCCAATCAGGGCTGGAGTTTCAGGGCCTCTGAGTTCTCGATGCACATTGGCCCTCATGTCTCATCTCGCGCGTCCTAGGGATCAGCTGCATCGGACGACCTTCACAGGCTCCTTGGATGAGATCACTTAGGCCTTGGAGAAGTTCTCAGGCCCACTCCAGCTGACCTTCTCTTATCCAGACAGCTCTTGCTTCTCGTGCCTGGCTCTCTATGGAAATACACACTGGAGTAGAGACTATAGTCAGACCCACGTGCAAATCCTGGATCTCACATCTATCAGTAGGGCATCTTTGTCTGGCAACCATGTCAAACCTTGAATTCTTCATCTGTAAAAAGAGCATAACGATGCTTGCTTTGTAGGGTTCTTACAAGGAGTGGCAGTAATGGGCAGGTAGCATCCAGCAAATGCCTGGCAGTGAGCAGGACTCCTGTAAATGGGACCTGCTGTAGCTCACCGAGTGGTGAGTTTATTTTCTCTGATTCCTTAACTTTTGGCCCCTGTAGGACACAGACTACAACCAATAGAACTTTTTAGCCAGAAAGAGTCTCAAACCCTGAATTCAGCCTGAGGTTGGGCATTTGGCTGTTGCAGGGCTGGCAGATTGGGGAGGGGCAGCCAAGGCAGGCTCTGTGGACGAGGCCTGGCAGGATGGCTGGTGCATCATGGTGCAGAAGTCCCTGGATGAGCATTGACAGGATGGGGCTCCAGGAGCTGTAGACACATCAGAAGTGAAAGGTTTGTTGGGCAGGTGTGGCTGTCCCCCATCCCTTGAATTCTGGCTCCTCATGTCCCTTCCTGCTCTCTGATTCAGTGTCAGGAAGTGGAGGGAGTTGAGAGACTGTGGGTATAGTTTCTAGCTCACAGTATGTTTTGCAGTGGTGCAGCTATTCCTTTAAGAATTCAGCTCAGAGCCCTGTTAACCCCATTCTGGAGCTCACAGACCTGCTCCCCCAACACGGTAACAGTGTCTTAACCAGGATGCTCTTTTCCTGGACCAGTTCTAGTGTTTCCCAAAGTGTGTTCTGTGGAGCACTTGCCCTTGAAGTTACCTTGTGAGAAAATGGAGAGTCATGGCATACCTGCGTGCCCCTGGGAGAGCCCAGGCTGGGGAATCCTGCAGGAGAGACACTGGTTAAGCTGCCCCTGACTGTGCTCACTTAGAGCAGCCGCGCCTAGATGTCGAGCCTGCTGTGCATACCTGAGAGTCAGCCTGTGACCTTGGGCAAGGACCTTACTACTATGTGCCTCAGTTTCCTCACCTGCAAATTGGGGATTGTAATAGAGCACAGCCCTATGGGGTAGGTACTCTCCTTAACCCCATTTCATAGCACTTCCTAGGAGGACACGGCGACTGTAAGCCATGGGCTGGCCCTGCTTGCAGTGCCCAGGGCCCTTGC